CATGCTGAATGCCTTTTATACATTTACTGTTTCCAACCCTAGTGTTGCAACCTGCTTGTTTCCCACACACACCCATAACCTCTATCTTCCATCAGTTTAAAATCATAGGCATTTCACCAATGGCCTTCTCAATCGAGTCTGCAAGTGCTACCACCCCTGCCACCAGAGAGATGTACCCCATCCCTTGCATACATATCATGTTTGCCATAAAAGTTGTTCCAGTTGTCAATGAATGGGATTGCAAGTTCCTTGCAGTATCTGTCTAGCCAGCAATTTACACCAATTGCCTAGACAACCATTCATTTCCTACTCCCTTCTAGGCAAGATGCTACATATGATTGGGATCCCTCCCTTAGACTTAATGAAATCTATAGCTGACCTGTACTTAATCTAGCAGCTCTTCTCTCCTACCCTTCCCAATATCATTTCCACCAGCACTGAGACAGATAATGGGCTTGTTCCCATTACCTGACATGATATTATCCAGCCTGTTGACAATGTCCCCAACACCAGCTCCAGGGAAGCACACTCTATCTCTCATCTTCTTATTCCTATTACAAAAAGCACGGTCAATATATCTTACCTGAGAGTCACCAACCACAAGAATGTGCTTACCTCCATTAGCAGGGGCAGTAGTACCCTTACCTTCACTGACCACTGAAGTACATTCATCCTGAAGAACAGAGAAGCGATTTCCTACCTTCAGATCTTCACTCTTAACTTTCCTTACTCTGATGCGCCTCCCATTACTGTGAACCACTCGCCACTTGTAGCAGGTGCTGGGCTGCACCTCACTGCTGGTAGCCGTTGCTACCTCCCCAACTACAGCCTCCTCCTGCCAACCTTTGCCATGCGGTATTTTTGTGTTTGAGATCAGCATTTCTTGATCCATACCTATCTCACTGGCCAGGCTGATTTCACTTCAATCGCTGTCCAATGCGTCCAGGGAGTGATCTCGCAGCGTCTTCTCCAGAACTGCGCCCCATATCTCTAAATCCGAGCGCTCGGTTGTGTCCTAAAAACGTTGTGTCCCCTTCCTGGGAACGCTTGGAAGCACTTGACTTGTACTCGTTGGAACGCAGGAGGGAGAGATATATCATAATCTACACTTGGAAAATCTTGGAAGGAATGGTCCCAAATCTGCACACAGAAATCACTCCCTACGAAAGTAAAAGACCGGGCAGGCGAGGCAAAATGCCCCCAATAAAAAGTAGGGGCGCCATTGGTACACTAAGGGAAAACACCATAAGTGTCCGGGGCCCAAAACTGTTCAACAGCCTCCCATCAAGCATTAGGGGAATTGCCAATAAACCCTGGCTGCCTTCAAGAGAGAGCTGGACAGATATCTAAAGTCAGTGCCCATACCTATCTCACTGGCCAGGCTGATTTCACTTCAATCGCTGTCCAATGCGTCCAGGGAGTGATCTCGCAGCGTCTTCTCCAGAACTGCGCCCCATATCTCTAAATCCGAGCCCTCGGTTGTGTCCTAAAAACGTTGTGTCCCCTTCCTTTCAGAGGAAGCCAGGTGCACCTGTGTGCCTGTCTTATGACTGTCATTCTGTAAATGGTGTCCAAACAAAGGTGCTGATGACTGATTCATCATGAACTGCATCCTAACACAGGTCTTAATCCGAACATTACCCGTCTGATGATCTCGAAGGAGATGTCGATATAATTCAGCTGTTCGGTGCATTTCACGGCAAAATATTTTATGTACAACAACGGACTAAGGCCATCAGGCTCCCCATCACTATCTTGAAGTCCCACAGATGTGATGGATGGAGAAAGTTGGCAGGTGGCAGGTACAAGGCGCTCATCCACCCGCTCAACACCCGCTGGACCAAGTCTCGAGCTCGCCTGGTCATCGCAGTCATCTGGGTGTTCTCAGTCGTCATATCATTGGTTCCACTGGTCGTGTCTGATTCAGCCCGGAAGTCCCAGTGGAGACAATATTATCTTGCCTCAGACTGGGAAAGCCAAGCCATCTGCAGGTAACAAATTAAGGCTGATAAGCAAAGGACACCAGAACACTCCATATTCTGCTATAATTTACCTCGATAAGAAATATGGCCTGATATCAGTGTTCCCAAATCTGAAAGGGGAGTTTATTCTCACTCCCGAAACACAGAGTCCTATGAAGTACTGCAGATGTACAACCTCGAATCACCACTTGTTCTAACAGAACTAAAATCCACAGAGCGGGTAACAAAATCTGTACTAATTGGCTACTCGCTAGACATTCCTCTCAAAGCAATCCATGGTAACAAAAACATTCTGAAAGTTGAGCGGCTTCGAGCCAAGGACAGCAACGTACCTACGAGACAGGTCTTTATCCAACATAAAGGACCTCTTCTAGCTCAACTGCATCTCGGTTACTGGAGAACATACCAGGTTAGGCCTTACAACTCAGAGCCTTTGAGGTGCTTCAGATGCCAAAGGTAAAACCACATCAGTGTTCACTGTCAGTTTAAAGAAGTATGCGGCAACTGGAGCGGGTCTCACCCAACTAAGGACTATTTGGATAAAAAAAAGTTGAGGCTACAGAACCGCGGTGCCTTAAATCCGGCAAAAAGCATCATGCCTGGAACCTGCACTGCTCGAAGAGGCTCCACCGGGTTAGGGCAGCGTGGAAAATCACAGCTGTCCAGCCTCCAACGCCAAGTAGAGCCCTCACCACTGAGCGGCAGCATCGTCCAGAGGAGGCTCAAGTAACAAGGAATACAGTGCCACTTCCCCGGCCACAGCGACGAAGGAAGACAAGGAAACGTCAGTGACGGGATCATGCCCTTGCTCAGCCAGCTTCCAATTCTCCTGCTCAAACTTCCACCCGACAACGGCAGCGAACGGGCCCCATGCTGCAGGAACAGGCTACAGCCAACACGTCAACCCTAGCATCACAACAGTCACCAGTAAGGACCACTGTAGCCCACCATCCCGTATTACCCATGCTACACCACTTGTGCTGAAGAATATTCACCGTGTCCTCTTTATAGAGTTGCCCCCGCCAGAGCGCTGTAAACGGTACTCCACTTGACGCGAAGACATTTCACTGTGTCCTTGTCATAGTTCTGTAAGTGGTATTCCACTTGACCTAAAAGAAGATTAACCGTGCCCTTGTCATAGGACTGCCCTCGCCATAGGGCTATAAACGGTATACCTTTGATATACCTTTGAGAGTCTTCCTACTCCCGCAGCCCGGCCATGGGCCAAGCTTGTCTGGCAGTGTGCAGATTTGGGACCAGGCCCTCGAGTACTTTCCAGGTATATACTATATCATAACGTATCTCTCCCTCACTCCTCCTCTCCAGTGAGTACATATCTAAGACTTTAAGGCGCTCCCAGTAATTTAAATGTTTTACTGGCTATGTGCGGGCCGTAAACGATCTCTGTATTTATTCTAGCTCTAATATTTCTCCAGCCTTGAATGGGGCCGTCAACACTGACACGAATGCTCATTGTGCACCTGCTATAGAGGTGTAAACGGTACATCACTTGTACTAACTCCAACACTCCTTTCGAGAGCTTGTGCCGGGTCACCACATGGAGAAGACCCGGCCAGGACACGTCTTAGCAAACCTACCTAAACATAAATCTGTATTGTTTGTAACAGCTTGACAAAGCACCTGGAGAGCAAAATGTTGCACATTAAAATTTCACATTAGTTGCACGTGTTCTTTTACCCAACAGACGTTCTATTGATAAAGCCACTAATTAGCGAAATGTCTACATAATAAAGATACCCAGTTGCACTTGTACAACAACTAGGAAGATCAATTAGTTATTTCAAAGTCATTAGTGAATGCAGCCCTGCGGCTAGCTGACGGTGTATCAGATGTTGCTCTCCCTCACATGGATCGTCCTGTTAAACAAGCTAGATTGAGATATTTTTGGCCTCACATGGCAACAGATATTTCGGAATGCGTAAAAAAAGTGTAAAGTATGCATGCAACATAGAGGTAATGGAGGTCCTAACCCCATTCAGGTTTATCCTACAGTGCCAGCAACGTTCCCTCCAACGCTCCCTCCAACGTTCCCTCCCAACATTTATGTCTGATGCTTGATCATTTCACACGTTACTGGGAGTTAGTAACTAATGCAGATAAAACTGCAGAGGCAGTAGCTAAAGCATTTAAAGAACGAATTATTTGCAGACACGCTACACTTAAGTCCCTTGTAACAAATAATGAAGGCGAATTCCGTAATGAGATCCTTGAGAAATTTCATACTTCGTACAAGATCAGTAAGTTCACCATTGAACCATCCTATCGAAAATGACTTAACAAAAACAACAAACAAGTACTAAATGATTTATGAGAAACGATTAATATTACGTAACAGTGATAGATGGGACGAAACAATAGCTGATGTTCAGTGTGAAATAAATTCCGCATACAATGTATAGGTGATACTCCACATCATACTTTGTATGGTGTGGATCAGTGATTCCCAGAGTGGGTGGTACTGCTCTTCTGGGCGCGGTGGAGATCCTGGGAGGGAGCACTGAGTTCTGATGCAGGGTGGCATCACAACCAAGGGAGCATTTGTTTTACGAAATCTAAATGACATGATCTAAGTCATTAACACTTAATACAAATGCTTTACAAAACAATAAAATTAACAGAGTTATACATGAAAGCAAAGATTTATTTTATTTTGCGGTCTGAAATCGGAGTTAAAAGCTCAAATGTTTGTTCGTGTGTTCGGACGCACCATACATCAGCCAGAAGAGACAGCAGTTGCCGTGGGTACTGCAAGGGCCAAGGCTCTAAGTTTGTATGCACTGCAAGTTACCTTCGGTCTTATAACATACATTTTAAAGTATAATATAAAGATATGATTGAGTGGTATTGATGTGTGGAATACCAACACCACCACCAACGCTATACACCAACCACCACTAACACAACACTTCACAGCAACCACCACCAACACATCAACCACCACCAACACATCAACCACCACCAACACATCAACCACCACCAACACACCATTACACTCACCGTACGGTTGAGCTGAAGCTGCAAGAAGTGTCTGGGCCGCTCAAGTAGTCTCTGCTGGTCAGTGAGTAAGAAACATGTATTAGTTAAAGAGCTATGTACACGGAGTGGAGGGAAGCGGTGCAGTGGATGAAGGGAGGGGAAGAACGGAGGGAGGGAAAGGCTTGGAGGAAGACAGGTGCATAAGGGAGGAGGGTGGAAGGAAACATGACAGATTGTAAACAGGAGCAATATATACATACACACAGAAGTATGATATATTTATATTATGTATATACTGTATATGCAAGACACATTTAAAGCAAATTCAATATTATATACATATTATTAACAGACATTATATACACGTGCGAGTGTCAGTATATATATATATTATATATATATATATATATATATATATATATATAATATATATATATATATATATATATATATATTTCAACGTAAACATAGACTTGTATCCTCCTTTTTCTATAGAAATTTCATGAAGCAATATTATATATTATTAATAAGATAATCAAATATTTCTCTGCATAATACTCATACTTACCGACCTATATACGTAATCTGTACATATTAAATCCCTGGATTTACTCATACACATGTCAAGTGAAGCAAAATATACAAAGTGTCAAAAATTCTGGTAATCCTTGTTATATTGTCATAACATTAATGATCATTATGGTAATGGCAGCCTGTCGTTGACAACCCCAACAAGATGAATAAAACATTTAACTAATAAAGCGCAATAATGCCAGAAACGAAAGTAAATTCATTTGCAATGGATACGTAAAAGTTAAGTAAAACTCTGGATTAACTTACGTCACTGTAGATGTAAGTTTAAGAGGATAAAAACATTTAATTCTTGACTCACGAAACCGCAATGACACGACTGCAAAAAACCATACCACGGGTTGGGTTAGAACCCGCGGTCAGAGTTATAAAACTCCAGACCGACGCGTTAGCCACTGGGCCACTAACGCGTCGGTCTGGAGTTCTATGACTCTCTGATCGCAGGTTCTAACCCCACCCGTGGTATGAGTTAATTCTTCTCGAGAGCACCAAGAGTGTCTCAGTGATGTAAATCCCACAGAATTCAACTTTCAGAGATTCTTGCCTAATACCATAACTCAAATGGCTATACACAGAGAATTTAATACAAGGAACACATACAGGAGGATCTCTGTGTGTGATGAGGTTAATTTATTAACCAGAAAATATTTAAACACTTTTTAAATGATGTAACTGTTATATTAATAGAATTTGGTCAACACGTTGATGCCTACATGACAAACGAACCACTCTGAGCAATGTCAGGCTCATTCGTTAAGTAAAATGTTTTACATCCAGCAAGCCACGTAGTGCCGGGTGATCCTGCCCTTAAACACCGCTTTCAAACCTGTTATATACTGCAGCTATGGTGTGTGTAGCGACCGTCAACTATGATCTGATTTAGTTTTTACAGCCAACAACCACCCACACCTCAGTTCTCGAACAAGGTGGAAGTGAGAGAAAGAAAGCGAGAGGGGGGGAGGGAGGGAGGGAGAGAGAGAGAGAGAGAGAGAAATACTTTCATCTTCCCTCTCTTACATTAATAATAATTAGAATTATAAATAATAATAATAATAATAATAATAATAATAATAATAATAATAATAATTATAATTTTTGTGCAGTAACACGACGGGTGTACACACGTCTCCCTGCAGGGGATTTATAGGTTTGAACCTCAAATGTTACTCATATCCACTTTTTAAAGCTCAGTGTAATTTTTTTTTAAAGTTGTGAATAAATTGGTTGACCAGTGGAATGAATTAAATGAGAAATTAGTAAGTAAGTACTTGCCTGGCAGATCAAATGTATCTGCGGATGCTCTATCGCGACATGTTAGTATAGTAACTGCAGACCCTCCATTTAGTACTGAAGTGGAAAAGTATTGAGAAACCCTCAAGTATCTTTTGTAAATATTAATTCAGATCTCCCTCAATCACGGCATGTGTTAGCCATTAAAAAGAATTCGATCCACCCAGAGATGATAACCATTCTGCATATGTAAATCTTACCCTAGCAGAGTTGGGTTTAAATGTCCCTAGCCTGTATAATTAGATGATTAAGTTAAAAGAAATTGTCAATTTTGTGTTTTGATTGCTAGCTGATCAGTATCCATTTTTTTTTTTTCATGTTCCCTCTGAATTCTGAGATTTAACAGTAATGACTTATGCATGCCAGGTCTGTCTTTTCTGTTAAATACTTGCTACTTTGTAAATATATTCTTCCTCAGAATCTGTAGAGTACATGAATACAGATCGATCGATCATTTCTATCTTTTATTGTACTGTGATTTGTTATTGTAATTCATAATGCACTACACTACGATCCATAAATAACAAAAAAGGGCACAATACCGTGACTGGAACGATACACAAATAACCCGCACGATCCATTATATTAATATCCATTCCAATGTTATCCATTCAACCGAGTATATCCCATTACCAATTCTGTGATTAGTTCTAAGTTATATGTGTTTGCTATTGTATAGAATCAGCCCAGAGACACCTGCCTATTCAGCCTGTAGAGTAGTATTGTATGTCGAGACGCCATACGTAACATGATCGAGCTGTCAGTATCACTACTGAATCCCTATGTATAGGCTTGTGTAGTTTATCGTAGTTTGTATCATCCATATATACATTTAGGCTGCCTGCTCAGCTCTGCCCAGTGGCTAGCATGTGTGACATCATGTGGTGCCGTATGTGAACGTCGGTCACCCTGCCTCTTCCTCAGTTCCAGTATAGGCATAGGCGAGACAGGTAGGCTGGGCTATACTCCCCTCACGACTCTGCTAATATAAGTGATATGTACCAACCAAGTGTGTTTATCTTCAACCATCATATCCCAAGGAACTCTCGCAACACACACACACACGTGCACGCGATGGTCGACACACTGGCTGAAATGGCCAGAGGGGCCCATGTAAGCAGGGCAAAGCTACTAATTGTGGGTGACTTCAATCACAGAGAAATTGACTGGGAAAACCTGGAACCACATGGGGCCCAGAAACATGGAAGGCTAGGATGATGGATGTGGTACTGGAAAACCTCATGTAGCAACATGTAAGGGACACTACCAGAGAGAGAGGACGAACCAGCAAGACTGGAACTAGTATTCACCTTGAGTAGTGCAAATATTGAAGACATCACATATGAAAGATCCCTCAGGGCTAGTGATTATGTGGTTCTGAGCTTCGAATACATAGTAGAGTTACAAGTGTACATAGGAAGCAGGAAGGGCAGGACGAACAAATGAAGCCAAACTACAAGAGAGGGAGCTCCACAGGCATGAAGAATTTCCTGCATGAGGTTCAGTGGGACAGAGGACTGGTAGGATGATCAGTAAATGCGATGATGGGATATGTGACAATATCCAACAAAGCTTAGGAGAGGCTTGTACCTAAGGGAAACAGAAATAACGAGAAGGCCAGGATGAGCCCTTGGTTCATTCAAAGGTGTAGAGAGGCCAAAACCAAGTGTGCTAGAGAATGGAAGAAGTATAGAAGGCAAAGGACCCAGGAGAATAAGGAGAGCAGTCGTAGAGCCAGAAATGAATATACTCACGTAAGGAAGGAGGCCCAATGACAATACAAAAACAACACAGCAGCGAAAGCCAAATCTGACCCAAAGCTGTTGTACAGCCACATCAGAAGGAAAACAACAGTCAAGGACCAGGAAATCAGGCTGAGGAAGGAAAGAGGGGAGATCATAAGAAACGACTGAGAAGTATGTGAGGAGCTCAGCATGAGATTCAAGAGAGAGGTGGGTAGACTGCGTTTTCTTGGACTGTAAGAAGGCTTTTGATACAGTTCCACATGAGAGATTAGTACAAAGCTGGAAAACCAGGCAGGTATAACAGGGAAGGCACTGCAATGGATCAGGGAATACCTGACGGGAAGACAGCGAGTCATGGTACGTGACGAGGTATCAGAGTGGGCGCCTGTGACGAGCAGGGTTCCACAGGGGTCAGTCCTAGGACCGGTGCTGTTTCTGGTATATGTAAACGACATAACGGAAGGAATAGACTGAGAAGTGTCCCTGTTTGCAGACGATGTGAAGTTAATGAGGAGAATTCAATTAGAGGAGGACCAGGCAGGACTACAAAGGAATTTTGACAGGCTGCAGGTATGGATCAGAAACTGGCTCCCGGAGTTCAACTTCATCGAGTGCAAAGTCATGAAGGTTGGGAAAGGGCAAAGAAGACCGCATACGGAGTACAGTCTAGGGGCCAGAGACTACAAACCTCATTCAAGGAAAAGGATCTTGGGGTGTGTATGATACCGAGCACATCTCCTGAGTTGCACATCAACCAAATAAATGGTGCAGCATATGGGCGCCTGGTAAACCTAAGAATATCATTCCGATATCTCGGTAAGGAATCATTCAGGACTCTGTACACCGTGTACGAAAGGCCCATATTGGAGTATGAAACACCAGTTTGGAATCCACACCTGGTCAAGCACGTCAAGAAATTAAAGAAAGTGTAAAGGTTTGCAACAAGATTAGTTCCGGAGATAAGGGGGTATGTACTACGAGGAGAGGTTAAGGGAAATCGACCTGACGACACTGGAGGACAGGAGGGATAGGGACACATGATAACGACATATAAAATACTGAAGGAAATTGACAGGGTAGATAGGGACAAAGCAACAAGGGGTCACAACTGGAAGTTGAAGACTCAGATGAGTCACAGGGATGTTAGGAAGCATTTCTTCAGTCATAGAGTTGTCAGGAAGTGGAACAATGTGGAGAGTGATGTACTGGAGGCAGGATCCATACATAGCTTTAAGAAGAGATACGATAAAGCTCATGGAGCAGGGCGAGAGTGGATCTAGTAGCGACCTGCGAAGAGGCGGGGCCAGGAGCTGTGAATCGACCCCTGCAACTGCAGATAGGTGAGTACATGGCTAGACACGGTATTGTACAACAGGAAGCACCACTGAGCAACACATCCAGAGTTGTTCACATCCTACCATTAGTGAAGGTTACAGTGTTGAGTCAGTC